AGCACCTTAACCATCATACCACCTCTTAGCCCCAAGTTTTCTTAATGCTTGAGTTATTTTGCCTCTTTTCACAGCCAGTTTTTTTTAATTAATTTTAAAAACATTTATTTATTTATTGAGTCATCAAAAAAATCATGATGCATAACCCAGTATTTATCTGTTGTAATTTTCAAGCCAGTGGGTCTGGGACTCAAACCACAGTCAGCCATGTGGGAATCTAGTGCTTTACCACCATGCCATCTACTGACCCCAAAGTCAGTTTTTTAAAAGTTATTTCCTATGAGAAAGCATTGTCTAAGGCCACACAATGAGATTCAACTCTGTAGACTTCAAATCAGTCTGAAATCATGTAGTCCAGGATACTGAACCCAGAATCTAGAATTAGAAACTAGTTTCAAGTCCTAATCCCACTGCTAAAGAGTAGGGTATGTGTCATAATCTTTTCAAGCCTGTTTTTTCTTTACAACTCTCAAAGGACTGCAGATAATTAAATAAAATTATGTATCTAAAAGCACATTAGAAATTGCTTTAGTATCAATTTACTTTCTCTGGATTTTTTTTTTTTTTGAGAGATTTTTGCTATTGGGCCCATGCACTCACTGGAGAGAAAGAGAGACGGAAAACAAGAATTCACCCCTGGGATGGCCATGCCACAGTGCCTTCTCCTCTTGGGATTTTGGGCGTATGCACACACACACGCGTGTGCCCAGTATGTGTTTTAAGTCATCAGGCCTGGGACTCGAACTGCTGTCGGAGCCCAGCAATGTAACCATTACACTATCTGCTAGTCCCTCTCTGGATACCTTTGATAATGTCCCCAGCTACAGATAATTGTACAAGAGATACAGAAAACTGGTTTCTGCCTAGGAAGGCTCCTTATGGAAGCACGGTCCCAGAGCCTAGCATATGCTCTTCCTGGAGTCAGAGCTGACCTAAATCACTTTCCAACCTACCAGCTGACATAATTCATATAACATGATTATGAGAGCTCAGGAACACTCATTAACAATCTGAAAAACCAGCTCTCTGGGGCTCCTTCCCACATGCTGTTCCTCAGCATTGCCCTCACTCTGCTCTCCACTGAGCTATTCCTCATCACCCTGCAAATTTCACTTCAAATGCCACATCTTCTTCCTCAGGGAACCTGCCCTGACCCTCCAGACAAGGTCCCACTCACAAAGCAACTTAGAACTCTCGCTCCTACCCCCTTACCCAACTGTGTCTATCACAGTCTCTCCGTGTGAATACAAGCTGCAGGAGGGCAAGGTCCATATCTGTCTGGATACTTGCACACTCCTAGTGCCTTAGACAGCAAGTGTTCAATGAGTAGATGAGGGAGCGCTCTGAGCTTCTTCAACCTTGTTAAGAGTTCTGATGAGGGGCCAGCAGGTGGCGTGGTGGGTGCAGTGCTAGACTCCCACATGGCTGGCCGTGGTTATTCCTGGACCTGGCGGTGCTTTCTCACTCCCCACCTCTCATGTCTCTATCTGGTCAGATTTAAAAAATAATAAATAAAGTTTTAAAATAAAGAGTCCTGGTGGAGGCCAGCAGGTGGCGTGGTGGTTGGGGCACTGGATTCCCACATGGTGGACCATAGTTCAAATTCTGGACCTGGCGACTTGCTTTCTCACCCCCTACAACTCTGGTGAGCACATGTGCCCTGTAACAAATTAAAAATAATAATGATAAATATAATTAAATAAATAATTTTTAAAAGAGTTGTTGTTGTTGTTGTTTTTTAATAGGGCATATGTGCTCGTCAGAGAGACAGAGAAAGACAGACAGAAAGTGAGAAATCATCCCCTGAGGGGGATGGATGGCCATGCTGCAATCCCTTCTCCTGCAGTCTCTTCTCAGAATTTTGGGTACACACACACACACCTGACATGAGTTTCAAGCCGCCGGGTCCAGGGCTTGAGCCACGGTCGATTACGTGGCAGTCCAGTGACATAACCATTATGCCATCTGCTGATCCCAGTAGTTCTTTTTTTTAAATCTGGTGGTGGGGGGACCAGCAGTTAGCGTAATGGCTATGTTGCTGGACTCCCACATACTCAACTGCGGCTCACCTCCTGGACCCGGTGGCTTAAAACTCACACTGGGCACGTGTGCGTGGCTGCCCAAGATCCCAAGAGGAGAATGGAGAAGGGATTGTGGCATGGTCATCCCCCCGGGGGGTGATTTCTTGCTTTCTATCTCTCTGTCACCCTCTCTCTGTCTGGCAAGTGCATGCGCCCTATAGCAAAAACCTCTAAAAAAAAATCTGGTGGTGGGATCAGCAGGTGGTATAGCAGTTGCAGGGGCTGGACTCCCACATGGCTCACTGAGGTTTGAATCCTGGACCAGGCAGCTTGAAATGCATGCCAGGTGCATGTGTGTGCGTGCCCAAATCCCAGGAGGAGGATGGTGGAAAAGGGATTGTGGTATGGCCATCCCCCTTGGGGGTGAGTTTTCACTTTCCCTCTCACTGTCTCTTTCTGGTGAATGCACATACCTATGGCAAACTCTTAATAAAAAATAAAGAGTTCTGATGGCAATGAAAAGATAGACATAAAAAGTTAAATTAGAAAAATAAAAGTTAAATTAGCACTGGCAAAAATGGTGCTAGAGGAGGAATGCTTCCTTTGGCAATTTTCAACAATAAAAATAACTTGAGGGCCTAATTAAATCATTCAGCTCTTCAAAGGTAAGGAATGGCTAAGGATCAAGCTTGCTACAAATTACTCACTTTGTGCAAATGAAGCCACTCTTCTGGAAAGAGCAGTTAATGTCAACAGGAAATCAGCACAAGTCCCTTTGTTAGCAGACAACTGTCCTTTCTCTTTGTCAGGGCCTAGGAGACAGTCTCTAAGATCTTCTTTAGGAGTAGAACCTACCTTAGGCAAAGGGAGACAAGGTGAGGTTTCTTCATTCCAACTTACTTTTCCTCCATTGTTATATTCATTTTCTCCACCCCTACTTCAAGATAACTTAAAATCAATGCCTAGACTCATCTAAGTAATATTTTGACATTATTCCAACTGTGGGAAAAGGATTTTTCCACCATAAATATGATCTCAGACCAGTTATCAAATCTGCATATTTATGTGTATAAATGTATGTGGGAAATATACCTCCCCTGCACATTAGAATCGCATTTGCTACCCAGCCCCCTCACCCCACCACCACCCTGGCCCTACTTAGCCAAGTGTTGATGGATCTAGGTTGCCTTAAAAATACACATATAGGGCAGACAGGTGGTGTGATGGTTAAGGGCACTGGACTCCCACATAGCTGACTGTGGTTTGAGTCCTGGACCTGGCAGTTTGCTTTCTCACTTTCCCTCTCTCTCACTCTGTTCCTCTCTGGTCAAATTTATTTTATTTTATTTTATTATTTATTTATTTTTTTAAATTATTTAACTTAATTTTATTTATTCATTCATTCATTTTAATTTGACCAGAGAGAGAAAGAGAAAGTGTGAAAGCAAGCCGCCAGATCCAGGACTTGAACCATGGTCAGCCATGTGGGAGTGTCCAGCGCCTCAACCACCATGCCACCTGCTGGTCTCCCTCTCTGGTCAAATTTAAATAAATAAATAAATAAATAAGTTTAAAATAGTTCTTTAAAAAATACACACACAAATAAGAAATAGTGCCTAATTTTTATAAAATGCATGGTCATATTTGAAGGAGCCTTCTCAACTTAAGATTCAACATCTGGGACCAGCAGTTAGCAAAATGGCTATGTTGTTGGACTCCCATGTAGTCGACCGTGGTTTGAGTCCTGGACCCAGTGGCTTAAACTCACGCCGGGCACGTGTGCATGTGTGCCCAAGATCCCAAGAGGAGAATGGAGGAGAAGGGATTGCGGCGTGGCCATCCCCCCTTGGGGGGGTGATTTCTCGCTTTCTGTTTCTCTCTCTCTGGCTTTCCAGCGAGCGCATGCAACCTATAGCAAAAAAACCTCTCCAAAAAAAAAAAAAAAGAGTCAACATCCGTATTCATAAACATCAAAAGCAAATAATTGGGGGACCAGCAGATGGCATAATGATTATGTCACTGTACTCCCACGTATTCAACTGTGGCTTAAGTCCCAGACCAGAGGGCTGAGGGCTTGACACTCACACAGAGCCTATGTGTGTATAAGCCCAAAATCCCGAAAAGAGAATGGAGAAGGAACTGTGACATGGCCATGGCCCCTGGGGAGTGATTTCTTGCTTCCTGTCTCTCTGATGTGCGCATGTGCCCTATGGCAAAAATCTCCCCCCTGCAAAAAAATCCCAAAACAAATACCCCCCCTCCAAAAAAAAAAAAACACAGCCAGTAACTGGGAGAGAGATGGTATCTTGTCGCTATGATGGGCTGCCTGAGCCAGAGCTTTAGCTAAAATGTTTAATCATCAAAGGGCCAAGGTTAGATTTCCTCAAGGCCCACTATCATAACTCCACTTTGACCTCCAGTTTTACTGGCTGATTCATACTAGGGTGACGTCAAGGATCTTTGGCTTCAGGGATCCCATCCTTTAATTACTTATACGTCACTGTGGGTTTTGGCACTTCCTGCAGGATACAGGTTTCATTTCTTCCCTGTAAATGAAGAGGCAACCCATCAGGTTGTTAAACAAATTCTATTCAGTAGCTGGAAAAGTGAATTTCCTGCAGAATGACAGGAATTACATAGAAGCAAGCAACTTTATTTTCCTCAAATGTAGCAATAATTTTAATCTGTACATACATAAAACAAACAGTGCAATTATAAAACCTTGAAGGTGACATGCATACTTTTTAAGGTGCAGTTGGGATGGGGGAGGATGTTAGCATCTCCAATTTTCCTTACCACTTTTTTTTTTTTCTAGTTCCTTATGCAAAAGCACTGAGTCAGGAAACTTCATCTGGAATGCTGAAGTTAAAGGTGAACTTCCTGAAGTCTGCACGTCTAAATACCACAAACAAAATGGAAATGACTTCCTAGAGCAGTTTGGTAGGGACTAGAGTAATATGGCTGGGCTTTCAAGCTGGAAATGAGTAAAATCAGGGATGCATTTTCTGGAAAACTAAAAGAGATAATGTTTGTAACTGAGTGTCCTATTTGTTTCAGAGTTGTTACCCACGTGAGCCCTTCCACCAACTGTTTATTCAGTATAGTTTCTGAATAGATGCTGTTCAGTGGAGTTATTTGTAACGAGGGGCGGTGAGATGCAGAGAGAAGGACCTGGGAAAATGGCTTCTTCCTTGAAGTCTGAGTCCGTGCTCCTCCTCCACTGTTAGTCCTATGGCCTTTCCTCTGCCACGGCAGCAGAGGTAGCTGGTGCAGAGCGTCAGACATCATCATTCACAGGTCCAGGGGTGCAGGTCAAGGTGCGTGAAGGGGGTCTACCTTTGCTTCTTCCACAATACCTTTCTCATGCTTTCCTGGCCTTGCAGTGGAACTTCTAGAAAGTCAGTTCACTGGGTCCTTGACTCAGAGGCCAGGATGAGATAGGATGTGGCCGAGTGACAAGACACAAAGGGAACATATATGGTACCAATTAGCCTCAGAGCAGGATAGAGAAATTCATATTTGCACTGTTGAAAATTCAGATTCCCAAAGTCAATCTTAAAAAGGTGAAGATTTCCTTTGAGTCCTAATTTTTCTCTGTACAAGTAGCCTGTGCACTTCCGGTTGGATGATCCCAGGGTCACTCTAGGGCGATTTGCTCTAGCTCAGCTGGAACAGCTCTTCCTGGCAGTGGCATTTTGATTTGAACCCCAAAATAAATCCATACATGGTGTCACAGTTATTGACATAGAATAATACTAGTCAGATGTAACTGCAATTCAATCAATGTTATATTTTACACACAAATTTAGAAAAATCAAGAGTATGATAATAAAAGCATAAAATTAAACAGAAGGAAATCAATTTCTACAAGAAATCAAATATATTTACAATGGCATTTAAAGGGAAAAATAAGCTACTGGATCATAAATTTAATTTTATTTTAAATAACGTTAGCTACCTCGGCTGTTAATACAATAAAAGCAGAAAAAAACAGGCTGCCTTTTTTCCCCCCAGATTCAATCAGAAAATTGTATCTACAATAATTGACAGAACTCACTTCATGTCCTTCACCCATCTCATCAAACATTATTGCATTTTCCCCCAAAACTGTATTTTTTGGATTCCTTTGTGAATATACTTATTTCATCCTCTTCCCTGGAGGCATCTTGGTTTAAATCCATCTTTAAAAAAGGGAGAAGGGTACATATGTAGAGGCAAAATATTCTCTTGAAGCCAACAGATAAAGAGTTGCTAGCAGAAGCTGATTGTACACACAAGCTGCCTGGGGTTGGGACGGGGAGGGCTGCTGATTTCCAGAACCGTGACAGCCTTTGGTGGACGGGCACAGGCAAAGCCCCAAGGGCCCTTCTTCCCGGGCGGGGTCTGGACTGAGCAGGAGAGGTGGAGCTTCATCTTCTCCTTGGAACTTGTCGATTTGGTTCTCCTTCAAAAGCCTTCATCCAGATAAGAAGCCAATGACTGATTACAAAAATAAGAATAATTAAATTTGGCTCAAGAAGTAGATTGTCCAACTGTACTGCCTTGTTATTTTTTCAATATCCAAGGCCTTTACAAAGAAAGAAACAAAACATCTCTCAATTTCCCAACAAAAGTGAACTCTTTTTTTTTTGTTTTTTTTTTGTTTGTTTTTTTGTTTTTGTTTTTGTTTTTGTTTTTTTTTTTGCTCCAAATGCTACGACCTGAAGAATGGCTGCAGATTGAGATATCAAAAATCTCAGAAAAATATAATATATTTGTATATCTCTGTATGTCTATTATTTAAATTTCACATTCCTTTAAAAGTGGTTATTCAGTCAGTAGCTGCTGAAGGAGGCTCTTCTGCTGGGCCTGGGGGGTCTGTGGTCCTGACGTGGGTTTTTGAGTTCCCAGTGGACCAGGCTGGTTCAGGTAAGGGTCCCCGCCTACCAGATTCACTGTACACTGGACGTCAGCAAACACCTGAACCTGTTGCACCTGCTGGAACACAAATAAAAGATGTGTTTAGACAGAAGGGTCTGCCCCCCCGGCTTATGAGTGGGTACTACTTGAAGTGGAAACTCACTAGAGCATTCCTCTAGTCTGTAGTCACCACAGAGAAGAACTCTTCTGTCTTCTTGTCCTACAAAAAGAAAATCGCTGCACTCATTTTGCTCAGGGTTCTGGAAAGTTCACACTTTAAAAATAAAATCAAAATTGGAATGGTCACGCCTCATACAGGGTTGCCATCAATACTGAAAGTGTCATTGCTAAGATTGCGAAGATTGGGAAAAGCCCAGTTTCAGAGGCTGAGTGGTGGGTTTTCAAAAAATGCATGCTACTTAGGAAACTGGCTTAAAAGCATTCTAGGGATGATTAAAAAAAAAAAATCTCTATGATGTCACTGAAAAATTAAGGGCATTACCCCAGTATTAGCAAAAGGAAACCACCACAACTCCACAAAAGGGCACTGGCATAAATGGTTAATGCCCAGGAGATTGGTGTAGTATTTAAATAGGCTATCATGTTGCTCTGTCACACACTGGCCTTAGAATGAAAGCAAAATATCAGCAGAATAATTTGCAATTGACTTTTTTTTCTGATAGATAATCCATTTAAACACTTGAGCTAAAAATAACGATAGATCTACTAGCTGAGAACAGTGTGAATTTTCCCTTTAACTACTTTCAGTAATAATACATATATATTCCTTAAAGAAGACTAAAGTTGCATAGTTTTAGCATTTTTCTACTGGAAAAACAGAGCCAGAAGTTAGTTTTTCCCACCAGCATTATTAAAAAGTCATTTGTAGAACTGATTAAGGTCAGTATCACATTTATAAATGTTCCAGACCAAGAACGGTAAAAGATGCCTTCTTCTAAGGCATCTAAATGCATCTAAGTGTCTCACACTTTTGGCAACCTTGTGCTTTATGTTTAATGGGTTTATAAAGTATTTTAGATTACTGATGTACTTTCTTGATCATTCATCACTAATTTATGCCAATTACACTCAGCTTTCCTGAAAACTTTTCTACCTTAAAAGAATAAAAGTTGTTTTCCATCAACCTTCATTGGCCAAATGTCAAATGTCTTGATCATCAAATTTCATCAGTCTAGCCTCTAGTCTCTTATCTTAATCTACTTACATCCCCACTCTACTCCCTCTCCGAGAGCAGACAGCTATGAAATGGGTTTCTGTGTGCCAGGTGAATTAAATCTCTGGTTAGATCAGCGTCGTTTTCCCCCTCCTCTTTCCAGCTCCCTAATTCCAGCTCTGTCCCCCTGTGCTCCCATTTGCTACCCTCCTCTATTCTCTCCAGCTGCCCTAGTGCCACTCCCAGCCACAAGCCTGAGCTTTCCTGGCCTCCCAGGTCCACAGCAGCCTTTCGGCCTCCCCCTGCTTCTCCATCCCCCATGATCTCTCTGTTCTCTCCTCTCTTGCTCCCCCTCCATCCCAGCTCCTCAGGACAGCCGGCTTCCTGTCCTCTTCTCCTTTTCTGTACTTGTGTCTCTCCCTCTATGTAACTCAAGCCCCAGCTTCTGTCTGACTAATACAAAAACATTGGAGCAAACAGACATTTCATGATGGGCTATAGCAGACAGAAGATTCTGCTACTGAAACTTTGCATGAGCACAAACTATAGTGTGTTTTAGGCGCTGATTAAAAAAAAAATTCAGCATACAAAATTTCATGTCTCTACATTTGAAATATTGGGGCACAGCAGAAGGTATTTTTGTCTCCAAATATTTAAAAAACATTTCACAAAGGCACGATAAAACAAACTACAGAGAAAGCTCTGTTTCTTCAAATAGAAAAGTTTTTTTTAAAAAAAAAAAGTTTATTTTTGAAATTAAACAAACAAAAAAAAAATTAAAAGGATAACCAAACTCAAACCCTAGAGCACATTTCAGCCATTTTGAACTGTTACTTAAAAACAGCAGGGCCTTAGGCTGGACCTGCAAGGACGTCTCCGATGGCCATAGCTTAAGACCTGCCCGGCGCACAGGGTGGTGTGAGAGCCAAGTCTCAGTCCTGAATATTCCCCAGCATAGTTTTACTTCACTTCAAATTCCTAGGGCTCCAGGACTTTAACACTTGGTGGTTTTGCTTGAAGACTCTTCATTTTCCCCATCACAAAATGTCCCCTCTTTACCCTCACAGGAATCAGATCCTATTGGGCCACCAGAAAAGTCATGACGTGGTTTTTCCATGCAAAGATGCATCATGACTTTTTCAACGACCCAATATTCCCTAATGCTGCAATAGGAACACAGCCTCCCAGATGATCCCTCTCCCTGGAGTGAGCGGCCCAGCGTGCCTTCCTTCACTTCCTCTACCCCAGGATAAAGTCTCAACTAGCACTTAAAAAAATTGCCAGAGAGTACAATCTGTTGTTGGAGACGGAGGGAAAGAAAGAGGGAGAAAAAGTGAGAAAGTACCCCCTATGGGGATGGCCACGCTGCAATCCCTTCTCCGTTTTTCCTTTGGGGATTCTGGGCACACATGTATCCAAGGTGTTTCTCAAGCTGCCGGGTATGGGGCTGGAACCCCTAAGTCAGTCCGATGAGATCAAGCAACCTCAACCACCACTGCCGGGTATGGGGCTGGAACCCTAAGTCAGTCCGATGAGATCAAGCAACCTCAACCACCACTGCCGGGTATGGGACTGGAACCCTAAGTCAGTCCGATGAGATCAAGCAACCTCAACCACCACTGCCGGGTATGGGACTGGAACTCTAAGTCAGTCCGATGAGATCAAGCAGCCTCAACCACCACAGCACAGGCAGGTCCTAGACCAGAATTTTTGATTACTCCTCTTCAGGGATGACTATCTGTTTGTAGGATTAAATATAAATTTTTTCTCTCCCCCCTTTAAATAATTATTTATTTATTTCCATTTGTTATTATTATTATTTTATTTTGACCAGAGAGAGAAAGGGAAAGTGAGAAAGCAAGTAGCCAGGTTCAGGACTTGAACCACAGTTGCAAATGTGGAAATCCAGTGCCTTAATGACCACATCACTTGTTGGCCCCTAAATATAAATTCTTTAGTGTAGCATTCAAAGCTTCTCAAAATTTGCTCTAATCTACTTTATCAATTTTAATTCCTACGATGTATTTTGTTAAAAGAATTAATTTATTATTTTTATTTTTAATTTGCTATAGGATATGTGCACTCACCAGAGAGAGAGACACACACAGAAATTGAGACAGTAAGCCACCAGGTCTGGGACTCGAACTGCAGTTGAACATGTGGGAGTTCAGCACCCCAACCACCATACCACTTGCTGGTCCCCGTATGATTATCTTATTATGAATCCTTCCCTGTCAGTGGATTTGATATAGCAGGAGTATGCTAAGATGTGACTACCTCTCTGTAACTGTGTCTAAATCCACCCCCTGCACTGGCCTCCAGTGACTATCCAAACTTTCTCCAAGGCCCAGTTCACTTCCATCCCCTATGTAAATGCTCTCCCAACCATCTCAGGAATTTCTCTTTTCTGTGAATGCTTACGGCTCTTGTCATTTACAACATAAATCTGACCATTTTCCTTCTCCAATCCTGACAATTTCTGTGCACACGTCTGTACGTTTTATAAGCCCTAAGTGGTATGGAGAGGCAGCACAGCTTTGGTGTTGAAAGCCTGGGCCTGAACCTCAGCTCTTCCTCTTTCTAGCTTTGTGAACAGAGCATGTAGTTAAACTTTCTCAGGTACGGTTTCTTCATCTGTGAAGAAAAGGAATACTATCCCCTTCACGAGGTTACAGGGAAGCTAAGGAGACAAACCTGCAATACCTAGCACCCTCCTGGCAGGTCATAAGCACTTTACAAACCAAACTCCCTTCCCTCACTCTTCCCCACAGTTCACCTAACAGATAGGAATATATCTTATGTGTCTATTTCAACTGTAGCATGATGCCTATGTTTAAAAAAATGCTTATTGAGAGAATAAAGATTAAGCCAAAGTTACCAAAGAGAATGAAAACCTCCAGAATTTCTAAATTTAGGTTAATAAAAGGAAGTGGCCCTCCATGCAGTTTATGCTGTTTTGAAACAAACTTCTCAGAAAGCAGGGAACACAGCAGGCACTCCCATCTGTCTGAACTTAACTGAGCTCTTCTAGATGTGATTACAGATGAATGTTTTAGTGCTGTGTTTATTTACAAAATAACAATTAGTGGCCGCCATTTGTGATCGCTTTATACTATAAACATTGAGTTAAACCTTCTGAAAGTTTACATTATTTAACTTTCTCGACAATCCTACGAGCAGGAATCGCGTTAGCTCTGTGGGTTATACAGCAGCTCAGTGAAGTTTCAACACATGTCCATGAGGATAGAGCTAAGGGTAGAGGCAGGTCTCACACCCAGTTCCGACCCCCACGGTCAGGCTATTAACCAGGATGCTATGTGATGTCCTCTGTATGTGGAACACATGGATGGCTCTGGGCTTTATTTTCTTACTGACCTGGGTTCCATCTGCTTCTGTTTTGAGAAGGTCAGTGGAGGAGAGCTGGTTGCAGTACAGGCCTGTGTGTCTCAGTGCTGAATCATTTATCTATTAAAGGTAAATACAAAACAAATTACAACCTAATTTAAGTTGAAGGCCAAATTTTCAGTGGAAAACAATCTTACTGAAAAAGAATCTCATGACAAAAGAGTAGTGGGAGGACAGCAAAAATAAAAGCTTAGCAATTTACTGTGTTGTTAGAAGTCAGAAGTCAGGATAGTTATCCTCCTATCTAAATGAGCTTAAAAAAAAAAAAAAAACCCGGACAAAACATGTGAAACAGAGCTGGTCACGTCACGTGCTTATAAACCCAGCTACTCCGGAAGCTGAGGCAGGAGGAGCGTGAGTTTGAGGACAGCCTGGGCATAATAGCAAGACCTGTCTTGAAAAACCAAAACTAAACGGTGAAACTCAAATCTTACTGAAAAAGAATCTCATGACAAAAGAGTAGTGGGAGGACAGCAAAAATAAAAGCTTAGCAATTTACTGTGTTGTTAGAAGTCAGAAGTCAGGATAGTTATCCTCCTATCTAAATGAGCTTAAAAAAAAAAAAAACCCCGGACAAAACATGTGAAACAGAGCTGGTCACGTCACGTGCTTATAAACCCAGCTACTCCGGAAGCTGAGGCAGGAGGAGCGTGAGTTTGAGGACAGCCTGGGCATAATAGCAAGACCTGTCTTGAAAAACCAAAACTAAACGGTGAAACTCAGGCACTCGAGACAGTGGACAAGGGCAGTAAAGGAAACTACCGAGGAGTCTCTACTGCAGTGATAACCCAGCAGACATTTCCAGGGTGCAGCACAGGGTCGGGGAGCACGGGCAGAGGCTGTGGGCTCCCTGCACTGATGGGATGTGGCTGGAATCCACAGGGCAGAATATCACAGAACTGCTAGGAAAGGCTATGTTGAATATATGGAAGATATAAAGATCCAGATCAACTTTCAGATACAAAATTGTAATGTTTAAGATAAAAAGTGTACTGGATAAAATTAATAGACATCACAAAAGAAAAGAATCCTTTAACTAAAGCAACAGAAACTATCTAAAATTAAACACATAGAAACAGTGACTGAACCCTACCCTACTCCATAAAAATGTCTTCAAATTCAAATCGGTGAATGGAGAGACAACTTCAAGTGGCCTACTACAGTGTAACTGGAGTCTCCAAATAAAAGGAGAGTACGTGTGGGGGGTAGGGGGTGAAAAATAGTTGAAAAAATAATAATCAACATTTTTCAAAATTTGATGAAAATTATATGCTCATAAATTAAAAAGTTCAATAAGCTCCAAGAACTATAAACAAGAAGAAAACTACATCAAAGCATATCCTCATCAAATGGCTTAAAACTAACAGGAAAGAGAAAAGTCTTAAAATCAGCTAGGGAAGGAAGAGAACCAATCACAGAGGAACAAAGATAAAAATGACAGCGGATACCTCATCAGAAAAACTGCAGTGGAGCAACAACCTGAAAGCACTGAAAGTTAAAAAGTACCAACCTAGAATTCAGGGAAAAGAATTGTCAATGATGAACATGAAATGTAGATTTATTCAGACGCAGAAAAGTTAGAAGCATTGGCAGCAGCAGACCTGCACTGAAAAAATACTAAAGGAGGATCTCCAGGCAGAAGGAAAACGATACCAGGTGGAAATGTCGAACTAGAATGAAGAAAACTACAAGTGACTATGGCATGGTAAATATAAAAAACTTCTTATTTAAATGAAAAAGAAAAACAAAAAAAAGCCAAATGTAAGTGACAATTTAAAGAAAAAAAAAACCAATGTACTGTGGGGTATATGACATATCTAAACAGAACATATATATGACTACAGTAGAATGGGAAAAGAGAAACAGAAATACACTGTTGTGACGTTCGTATACGATCCATGAGGTGATATCACTGGGTGTGCTTCCGCATGCCTGGGATCCTAGCTGACCGGGAATGCTGGGAGGAAGACTGTGAGGTAAGACCCTGTGGAGGGTGCCTGTCTGTTTCTCTCATGAAAGAAATAAACAAACTTGGGAACCAGCAGTTAGCGTAATGGCAATGTCGCTGGACTCCCATGTAGTCGACCGCGGTTCGCGTCCCGGACCCGGTGGCTTAGAACTCACGCCGGGAAGCATGTGCGTGCGTGCCCAAGATCCCGAGAGGAGAATGGAGGAAAAGGGATTGTGGCGTGACCATCCCCCCTCGGGGGTGATTTCTCGCTTTCTGTCTCTCTGTCTCTCTTTGTCTGTCTGGCGAGCGCATGCGCCCTATAGCGAAAAAAACCTCTCCAAAAAAAAAAAAAGAAATAAGCAAACTTTAAAAAATTTAATTAAACAAAAAAATAAGGTAAAGGGTGAGACAAAGAGAAAATAAATAAGGTATTTAAATCCAACCATAGCAATAACTATATTAAATGTAACTATTCCAATTAATGCATAGAGATTATTGAGTTGAATAAAAAAGTGAGACCTAACTCTGTAAGAAACCCACTTTTTTTTTTCTTTTTTCTTTTTTTTGAGAGATTTTCCCTGTAGGGCGCGTGCGCTCGCCAGACAGACAGAGAAAGACATAGAGACAGAAAGTGAGAAATCACCCCCCGGGGGGGTGGTCACGCCGCAATCCCTTCTCCTCCATTCTCCTCTCGGGATCTTGGGCACGCACGCACACGCGCCCGGCGTGAGTTCTAAGCCACCGGGTCCGGGACACGAACCGCGGTCGACTACGTGGGAGTCCAGCGACATAGCCATTACTACGCTAACTGCTGGTTCCCTGTAAGAAACCCACTTTAAATAGAATGTTTTTACTAAATTAATTTCCTTAAACATTTTTTACTTATTATTATTACTTTTTTTTATTACTATTTTTAAAATATGCTGTAGGGCATATGTCCTCACCAAAGAGAGAGAGAGCAAGAGAGAGAGAAAAAGTTAGAAAGCAAGCTACCAGGTCTGGGACTCAAACCACGGTGGGCCATGTGGGAGTCTAGTGCTCTAACCACTATGCCAGCTGTTGGCCCCAATTAATTTCATTTTTTATTACTGTATTATTATTATTTTTAGAATTATTTAATTTTTTATTATTATTTTTTTACTTGACCAGAGAGAGAGAGGGTAAGTGAGAAAGCAAGCTGCCAGGTCCAGGACTTGAACTGTGGTTAGCCTTGTGGGAGTCTAGCACCTCAACCACCATGCCACTTGCCACCCCTATTACTTTATTTTAATGGAGATAGTGAGTAGTTCTAATACCTGAATAAAAACAGATAATGCAAAGTCAAGAAACAATTTTATTTAGTTCTTTTAATTTGCTATAAGATATGAATCACTATATTGTTGGTTCTTTTTTACTTGCTAAACTATTTAAACTTGCTGTGTAACACCTGATGAGACTAAGGATTTTTAAAAATTACATAATAAAAGAATTCTACACAAAAAGTAATTAGTGTCTATATATTTTTAAGACTCACTACAAATTATGGCTACATGGTAATAGTCTAGTCTTCACAGTATACTGATATTTTGTGGTTGTTGATCTGAATAACGTGAACAGCAGCTACAGAGAGTTACCCCAATGAGCCTCTTAAGTATCAGTCTGAGAGGCCAGCAGGTGGTATGGAGGTAAGGTGCTGGACTCTCACATGGCCAACCGTGGTTTGAGTCCCAGACCTGGTGGCTTGCTTTCTCTCTTTCCTTTCTTCTCTGTCTCTCTCTGGTGAGTGCATGTGCCCTATAGCAAATTAAAAAATTAAAGTAATAAATAAAATTAAATAATGATTAAAAACAATCACTCTGAAAGTAGTCATTCTCTCCTGGAGACCTGTGGGAGGTTTGAGGATAAACTCGAAGCACTTGGCAGCACGCACTGTTTTGTTCTGTTATTGGCCTGACTGCTCATGCCGCGTCACTCAACTGGTACAGATGAGTGTCTCATAGAACTACGTTTGTACTTAGTAAGTGCTGAATGAATCCTTGCTGAATTAAAAGAGAGAAAGGAGGAAAATGTGTTCAGAATATAAAGGGGTATTCCATGCCAATTTACTGTATGTGACATTTCACAATAAGTCTAAAACACTAAAATCTCAGGAGATTAAAATCTCGTTTGTATAGTCTGTCAAAAATTTCTACTTGTGGGCCAGCAGCTGACACAGTGGTTATAGTGCTAGACTCCCACATGGTCGACCGTGGTTCGAGCTCCAGACCTGGTGGCTTGCTTTCTCATTGTCCCTTTCTCTCTCTGGTGAAAGAAATAACAACAAATTAAATAAATAAATAATAATTTTTAAAAATTTCCACTTCATTTTAAGGGCCAATAATTATCAAAAGACAGCAGGAAAGAATAAAGCAGTGTGGTTATTTCTCATAAGTAACTGTCAACATACCTGACTTTCCTTGGAGTAATGAACTGTGGTGTGGTGTGCATGTGTAACGAGCGTGCCAGCTGTGCCGCTTACCTGCTCGGGGCACACAGCGTTCATTCCTGGCATCTGCAAAGAGCTCATCTGCATCTGGCCCATCATCGGGTTCATGTTCTGAACGTTTGTGTTCCCACCGGCCATGGACACGGTGATGCTCATGTTGTTGTACACTCCTGGCTGCGCAGGTGCAGGCTGGTTCTGGACAGCTTGACTGAACACACTGTTAACTCAAAGACAATCCAGATTACATCCACTGATCAAGAGCAATTGACTGCATTCTGTACCTAGCTTATTAGACAGAATTCCAAATAAGGCTATTTTATGTTCTTTGTTACATGTGTCTTATTATAACATATAAGGATTAAATATAATTCAGATACATTTTGAAATCAGCCTAAGGGGTTTAATAATAAAAAGAACTCATTTTAAGTTACAATTATCTGGCCCAATATCAGAGATGCTAAGTGTCAAATACCTGAATAATTAATAAAGGAAGTTTTCCACACAATAAATCTTTCAGGTAACTGAAGTTTACCCACTTAATAATCAAAACCGTTCTAGAATTTACCACACTATTTTATCTCCTTAAACAGAGGAGACCCTGTTTAAGCAAAATGTTTGTGGGATATATATATATACACACACATATACCTACACACACACATATACCTACATACCTACATACATACATATACACACACATATACCTACATACATACAAATACACACACATATACCTACATACATACAAATACACACACATATACCTACATACATACAAATACACACACATATACCTACATACATACAAATACACACACATATACCTACATACATACAAATACACACACATATACCTACATACATACAAATACACACACATATACCTACATACATACATATACACACACATACCTACCTACATACATATACACACACATATATACCTACATACATACATATACACACACATACCTACCTACATACATATACACACACATATATACCTACATACATACATATACACACACATACTTCAATATATGTTTGTTGAAAGAATTAACAAGGGGGCCAGTAGATGGCATGGTGGTTAAGGCCCTGGACTCCCTCATGGCCGACTATGGTTCCAGTCCTGGACCTGGCGGCTTGCTTCCCCCCCATCCCCGCTTTGATCAAATTAAAAAATAATGATAATAAACAAAGTTAAATAAAATAAATAAATATTTAAAAATAGAATTAAGAAAGGAATGAATGATTCAAGGATAGCAATATTATACTGTAATTACACATCTTTCACTTAACACTTGGGAATGGTGACATCTTGTTCCACTTAGTCGTTATCTCTATTAAGTGACATTAGTAATGTAGGCACTCAGTTAAATATCTGATGAATGAGTGAATTTTAGACATGGTTATTATTATTTAGTGCTCTCAACTGATGGGTTCAGATTTTATTCTTATTTCTAAATTTTACTGTATCTATGTCAACTTTATTTTTTTTTTAAGGTTACTCCAGGAGCTATTTACAAGTGAATTCCATGACACTGAGACTTCTAGGTCTTACTCCAGTCCTAGTGAATGGTATTTTCCGGGGGTAGGTACAGTAGAAAGGTGTAGTTATGTCATTTCTGCAATTTGAAATTTGAGAGCCTTTATTTAATGTCCTATAGCTTGTTGTCACTTTTCTAAATTTCAGCTGCTGGCTGCTTTCAATATGCTATTAATATAAACTAAGAGACTAAATATATACAACCAGATGTTTTTATTTGGCAAATTTAATGTTATTAGAAACATCAATAGTCTCCTCAGGCATGAACATAGGGAGGCCAGCAGGTGGCGTGGCAGCTAAAGCACTCAACTTTCATATGGCTGACTGCAGTTTGAAACCAGGATCTGCTGGCAAAATGCCAGGAGAATGGAGAAGAAGGGATTGTGGCATGGTCATTCCCCCTAGGATAATTTCTCACTTTCCCTCTCGCTGTCTCTCTCTAGCATACACATGGACCCTATAGCAAAACCCTTAGGGAAAAAAAAAGAATATAGCATCTTATCTTTTCTCAGAAGCAAAAACAGAAAAGCAGGCAGTATGTTTTCAGAGGGCTTGTTTTTACTGACTTCTTTCTTCATGGCCAAGTTCTGGACTATGGGGACTATGGTTATACCAAAGGTCTCAGTTTCTTTTTTTTTTTTGGAGAGGTTTTTGTGATCGGGCACGTGCACTCGCCAGACAGACAGAGACAGAAAGCGAGAAATCACCCCCCAGGGGGGATGGCCACGCCACAATCCCTTCTCCTCCATTCTCTCAGGATCTTGGGCATGCACACACATGTGCCCGGCATGAGTTTTAAGCCACCGGGTCCGGGACGCGAACCACAGGCGACTACATGGGAAACCAGCAACATAGCCATTACACTAACTGCTGGTCCCCAAGGGTCTCTGTTTCTATCAGTAGGCAGAACAGTATGGAATAAACTCCAAGTAAATCCAACTTGAAACTTTATATTTGAACCCTAAAACTTCTCAGTTTTATAGACATACATATCTAAAAGAAAGCGATATAAATTTTGTCTCACATAACTTCTACAAAACACTAATGTTTTAAGATTCTATATCAATTGTTAACAAGCTGCTGGTAAAATTCTACCTATTTTGATGTGAAATATGAAAATTTGATTTAAAAAATCATTCTCCCTAGCAATGGCTAATCTATTCCTGGCTAGTTCTCAGGCGGTAAGTACAATGTTCAGATATTTATAGCTTCCAGTCGATTAAGGTAATCACATTGAAATTAACAGTCTGAGAAACAGCTATGCATCATGTCCAAAGAAAAGTTGTAAAATTTCTCCCAAGTAAATATAAAATACAAATGCCCACAGAAAATTACATGCCAAGGAAATGGTCAATAATGCTTTGTGGATCATTAATGTCTGCACAGTATGTAGCTTGCGGGGCAGTGTCCCCACAGCTAAAGGTAAGGGGGAAAACCTATTAATCTACGCCCATTTTCTAATGAGAACATTCTGCCTTGGACAATGCTCATTTGTCAACTGATATATAAATCAGCTCTGTGAAGGAGCAGGGCTGTGGAAGTTAATGGCTGCAGAAGCTCCAAGGACTGCAGTGATGTCATGCTCACTGAAAAGAAGTTAGGGCTCAATTTCCCTTCACATTTATACTTGGGACTGTATATTAGCTAAAGTTCTTTCAAACTGTTCCTGCCAATAGTTTTCTTTCAGCCCTTCTTTCATCGACGGAAGAAAACCAAGCTCTCCTGCCACCTCAGTCACAGTCCCAGGTCCTGGAAAGGACAGTGGTGCTCATTAGCACCTGACCACAGGGCTCCCAGGACCCCTCACTGCTCTCCTGCCTCCTCCTGGCAGTTACTACAGTTCTCCCAGAGTAAGCACCAGATACTTAGCCTCTAAATCAGGGAGTAAACAAGAGAAAGATGAAGACTCTGGCCCAAAGTGGGTTCCATAAGTATTGCAGGCATTAACAAATGGGAGGAGTCTCTGAAAAACAACAGTTAAAGGACAGGACCTCTTAGCCTTTCAAATGCTAATAAGCACTGGGACTCTGTTAGGCCAGTGACACTGAAACACTGTCCAGTTTCAGGACACAGAGGTTGGGTTTAAAGCCTTTCTTTCTCTCCACCACAGAGATAATGAAAAAGAATCACATTACACTGTCTCTGAACTCTATGACATCATTCTACTTAAGGATTCTCTAACTGTTTCATGTTTAATTCTCTTCAACCTACTCACTCCTTGTAGAATCTTGCATGGTGTGCTAGAGATAGTCTACGGTCACCATCTCTATTAGCACCTATGCTAATTACAAAAAGTCTCCAAATGTTCGTGGAAAATGTGTACTACAAAAAAACACTATGCGTGGATTTTTCTTTTCTGTGGCAAAATAAAACTCATACTTCAATTCCATTTCTCTTAAATTTTTGAAGTCTCCTGGTACAGAGCTTATGTCGACTAATAAACTTCTACACATGAACTAAATGAGCAATGTGAACATTCACAGTCGGTAGTCATTACTTTCTTTACCAAATGATTTGGAAAAGTTAGAGTTCACAGAAACTACTAAAACACAACAAAAACCCACACCTGCATTTCAATCTGAATTTGAAAACTGACTCAGGAAAAGGAAGTCTTTATACACATTTACTGAAAAGATGACCATGAAGTGTCCACCTGTTTTAGAGGATGGAGACACAGTAAACAAAAACACAGTCCTTGTGCTGAGGTGCTGCCCTAGCTGGAGGAGACAGGCCATAAACAGACTCAGCATATGCTGGTGGAAAGGAGGAGCCGGGATCCCTTCCAGAAACAATGGTGAGGGAAATGGCATCAGGGATGTTCAAGGAGTGAAGGACTTGAAGGGTGAGAGCAAACCACACAGCTCCTGAGGAAAGACCAGTCCGGCAGAGGGACTGAAAAATGCACAGGTCCTGAGTTTGCGGTGTACTTGGCACATGTGAGGAACAGAAGAATAAACAGAAGCCAGCGCAGCAGAGAGTGATGAGAACAGCAGATGAGGTCAGAGAGGGACGCGGCAGTAGGATGACTGGGGTTTTGGAGGCCTGAGTTTGTTCTGAGTAAGTTGGGAAGTGACTGGACAGTTCTGAGGAAAGGCCTGACACACTGCCTCATTTTTTAGAAGCCATCAATCTGGCTGGCATGCAGAGATTTAAGCTACAATGGAGCAAGAGTGGAAGCAGGGAGAGAGGAGGCTCCTGCAATGGTCCAGGAGAAAGATGGTGGCTTACACTACAGTGCTCAAGGGGAATAGGTAAGAAGGGAAAGTTGCTAAGAAACTGATGTGGTTTGCCAATGTGTTTGATGGGAGATGTGAGAGAAAGAGAAAACGTTTTTCTTCTGAGCAACAGGAAGAATGGCATTGAGGGGCAAGCCAGGCTACGTGGTAGTTAAGGGAGCAGGATCCCACATGGCTGAGTGTGCTCTTCGAGTCCTTGACCCAGCGGTTTGGAAAATGCAATGGGTACATGTGCGTTCATGCCTAGAAAGGAAGAAAAGGGATTGTGGTGTGGCCATTCCCCCTTAGGAGGTGATCTCTCACTTTCCCTCTTTTTCTGTCTCTTTCTGGCAAAGTGCACATACCCTAAAGTCAGGAAGAAAAAAAAGAAAGGCCTTGTAATTCACTGAGTGAGAGAAAGCAGGTAAGGACAGGTTGTTTTTTTTTTGAGAGGTTTTTGCTATAGGGCGCGCTTGCCAGACAGACAGAGAGAGACAGAGAGACAGAAAGCGAGAAATCCCCCCCCAGGGGAGATGGTCACGCCGCAATCCCTTCTCCTCCATTCTCCTTTCGGGATCTTGGGCATGCACGCACACGCGCCCAGCGTGAGTTTTAAACCACCGGGTCCGGGACGTGAACCGTGGTCGACTACGTGGGAGTCCAGCGACACAGCCATTACGCTAACTGCTGGTTTCCAAGGATAAGGACAAGTTTTTGTCCATGTCAACTTTGAGAGGTCTTTCAGATGTCCAAGTGGAGATGTTGACTGGGCTAGTGATACAGAAGACAGTGTTTAGGGGAGCAGGCGAAGCTGGAGACTGCAGTTTGGGAGTTGTGAGCCTAGGGCAGCATTTACAGCGCTAAGACTGGATGTTGTAACCCTGCAAGCAAGCAGACTCAGGGAAGAGGCCCTGGAATGAACTATGACACCTACAAAGGGAGGTCAGGGAAATGAGGAAAATACAGCAAAGAAGACTAAGAAATGGGAGGGGAGTCACGTTTCTCAAGAGAGAAAGTTGTTCAAGAAACTAAATGTAGAAAGGGCTTCAAGGAAGAATAAATACTTAAATGTGTCAAATGCTAATGATGAGCATGGCATCTGGCATTGTAAAGGCTATTAACCACCTGACAAGAACACTTCTGGTACAATGCAGAGATGAAAGCCTGACTACTTCAAGGGGTAGGAGGAAAGGAAGTGGATACAGTCTTCTAAGACTTCTAACTGTAAGGAGAGCAGAAAAATTGGTTAAGTGAGACCTGTCAGCATGACTGTTTTTTTCTTTTTTTTTTTTTAAGGCATACTGCAATGCTTAGGTTTAGATAAGAAGCAAGAGTTTTAGTTGAAGTTCATTGGAGAGAGTTTTGCTAGGCACAAGTGCAACCAACAGATAGCTGAGCAAGGGAGGATGAAAGCCTCTAAGGGAATAACCACAGTGATGGGCCATGGAATCGAAAGAGAATTTAGGAAGCTGGAAGTAGAACACATTAGGAGATAAAACTTCTCTTGTGTGTTACAGAGATGGCTCCATTTCTACCTAATCTATACGTGGTTGTCACTCAGAGCTACACAGTTCTCTACCAGGAAAATTTCCTTTCTCACCTTTCAATGAACTTTATGAGACTATAGTCTTCTGTTTTCAACTTTAACTGCCTTACTTATTATGTTGTCAGATCAAACGGCTTCTCTGTCATTAGAACCAAGACACACCAGATTAAATCCTTATAAAACTCAAGTGATGTGTGAAAAGTTCAGCAGCCAAGATTTGGAAAAAAGAAAAAGGCTTTTAAGAGATAATTCTAGGCAAAATGGGTAAGACAAGGCCACTGAAAACATGGAGATTTAGATAGGGGTGAGGCCGAATGACCTAAGAAGCCTTAAAACCTTCTGCTATTGTCATGAAATTTTTCTAACATACTGAGAAGAGGGAAAATTTTGTATCTGTTATTCAGATCCACAGAATGCTAACATTTTGTCTTTCTTGCTTTACATTTCTAAGACTTTTAAGTGTTCTTATAAAGGGAGGCCTTTTGAAAGTATCCATTTATACATCTGTCCCAGGGAAATTCTGAATACAGGAGTTGATCATATTTTTCTGGTGTGCTGGTGTAGTAAAAAAAGGCTGAGAGCCCATCACTTTTCTGTACTATCAGGTTGTAGGCGAAGTCTCTCTCTCTCTCTCTCTCTCTCACACACACACCCACACACACACACACACACACACACACATATATATATATATATAAATAAAATTATTATTTTTTTCTTTAGAGAGATTTTTGCTATAGGGCATATGCACTCGACAGAGAGACAGAGAGACAGAGAGTGAGAAATCACTGTAATCCCTTCTCCATTCTCCTCTTGGGATTTTGGGCACCATGCACACATGCCCAGCGTGGGTTTTAAGTTGCTGGGTCTGAGACTCAAACCATGGTCAACTTCGTGGGAGTCCAGAGACATAACCATTACGCCATCTGCTGGCCCCTTTATGCTTTTCTATGTAAAAATGCATCATGACTTTCGTGACAACCCAATATAAACACATTTTACACTTAGAAGAATGACCTGATTTTTTAAAGAGTTAAAACTCACTATTTTTTGTCTATAACATAAAATTCAGTTCTATCCATTATGCACATGGCAGTAGCCAATGATCTCCTACTAAGTTTATGAACAATCAGCTCATGAGAGCATGGTCGCCCTCATGGGCTGCAGATGATCAGGGATGCTCATACATAAGAACTATTCCCTTATGTTAACATCCTAGATTTATTTATTATACATTGTACACACACTTTGCAGATCATTCTGTACCCTACAAAGATGTGCAGTGAGTTATGTAAATTGAAAATCACAATAAACATTTAAAGAGAGGGAAAAAAAAGAAACGCTTCCTTACTTGTTGTTTCCCATTGCTCCTTGCTGCCAGGCCTTCATATCTGGTGACTGGTACCCAGAAGTGGGTGGAGTTTGCTGGAGCAGAGAACTCTGAGGAGGAGGGATTGGCATCGGCACCATGGAGCTCCCAGGACTTAGAGATGGAGCAAAGTTGGCCTCCCCTTGGGGAACCATTCCTGCAAAATGATACAAATTAAGTATGTGAATATAAATTTATTAACCCCACAAAGGAAACAACACCAAAAGATCTCTTACACTGTATTTAGAAATATCTAAATCAGGGGCTGGCAAGTGGCGGATAAGGGCAATGGACTCCCACATGGCTAACCACGGTTCGAGTCCCAGACCTGGCAGTTTCCTCCCTCACTTTCCCTGCCTTTCTCGCTCTGTCCCTTTCTGGTCAAGTTTAAATAAATAAATGAATAAAGTTAAATAAAATAATATTTTAGTTAACAGAGCAAGAGAGAGAGGGAAAGTGAGGAAGCAAGCCGTCAGGTCTGGGACTGGAACTGTAGTCAGCCATGTGAAAGTCAGTGCCCTTAAATACCACGCCACCTGCTGGCCCCAAAGTAAGTCTTTTAAAAAATAAAAGAAATACCTAATTCAACAGAGCAGAGGAAAAACATTTAGTCTCTTGAAAAAAATACAAGAAATCTCAGTATAAATAGAAAGATAAACATAGGAGTTTAGAAGAATGTATTCCATTTACTAAGGTGTTGATTTGCATAGCAGGCATATGGATTATATTTCTTCTGTTCTTTTTTGCTAATGTGTATTTTTAAGTTTGAAAAACATATAGGAACAGACAAGATAGACTAATTGTGTAATTAAAGTAAGTTGAAAGGGGGGAAAAGATAAAAAACATGTGTGAAATGAACTCAGTCTTCTTGGTGAGCTCTTTTTCCTTTCCTTTGGTGTGTATGCGTTTTTTGTTTGCTTGTTTCAGAGAGGTTTTTGCTATAGGGTGTGTGTGCTCGCCAGAAAGACAGAAAGAGACAGAGAAATAGAAAGGGAGAAATCACCCCCCAGAGGGGATGGCAAAGCTGCAGTCCCTTCTCTTCCATTCTCCTCTTGGGATCTTGGGCACGCACATACATGCACCCAGAGTGAGTTTAAGCCACTGGGTCCGGGACTTGAACCATGGCGTACTACATGGGAGTCCAGCGACATAGCCATTACACTGGTTTCTGTGTATGTGTTTTTAAATCTTAGTTAAGGTATAATCTATACAATATGAAATCTACCCACTGTAACTGCACATTTCAGTGATTTTTTTTTAAGTAATCTTAAAGAGTTGTGAAACCATCTCACGATTCAGTTTAGACATTTCAGCATCCCCAGAATTCCCTTGTGCCTATTTGTCATCAATTCTCACTCCCACCGTTAGTCCCAGGCAACCCTAGATCTGCTCTCTGTTTCTTTGCCTTTTTGGGGGAAACTTCATATAAATGTAATCATATGTGGCTTTTGTGTCTGGCTTCTTTCTTTCTTTTAGTGTATGGTTTCTTATTTATATTTAATCACTGTACATCTTTATAGTGTACAATATGGTTTTTCAAGTCATGTATGCAGTGCATGTCAATGAAGTCTAAGATGTTACCACATGCATCATCCTTAACAGACAACTTTCTATTCTGCTATCTGTTAAATGTTTTTTTACTGAGTCCCCATCACCCATTCCCTACTAATCACCAGTGTCTGGCTTCTTTCACTTAGCATAATGTTTTCAAGATTTGACTGTTTTACAGCATTTATCAGTAATTTATTCCTTTTTAATTCAGGACAGTGCTTATTAGCAGTCATCAACATAATTATGCTGGAAATAAACTGACCATACAAGTAAAGATTTGTTTCTGGACTTTTTATTCTGTTCCAGTGATCTATACTTCTAATTGTACCAGTATCATGTTGTCTTGGTTGCTTTAACTTCCGAGTAGCCTCTGAAATCGAGTAGTTATGCATCTTTATTCTTCCTCAAACTGTTTTGGCTACTCTAGGTGTTTTACATACGTATTAGGCTAAGCTTGTCAATTTCTCCAAGAAGCATGCTGAAATTCTGACAGGCACTGCATTGAATTATGAGATCAATTTGGTGTGAATTACCAGTTTTTCAGTCTCTTTTTCTCTCTGATTTTATTTTGAATAGTTTCCACTGTTATAGCTTTTAAGTTCGCTAATTTTTTCTGTATTTTTTAACCTGCCATTTATTCCATCTACTATATTTTTCATCTCAGACATTGTAGTTTTTATCTCTAAAAGTCTGATTTTGGTTTTATTTATATCCTCCATGCCTCTACTTAATGTGCTCAAGCTCTCCTCCAGCTCCTAGAATACATGGAATAGATTAATGATTTATAATTGCTTTTATGTTTCTGTCTACTAACTCATATGATTTATGTAATTTCTGGGTCGGTTTTCAATGGACTGATTTTTGTCTTCATTACAGGTATATCTTCCTGCTTCTTTGCATGCTTGGTAGTTTTTTTGTTTTGTTTTGAAGAGAGCTTTTTTTTGCTATAGGGTGTGTATGTTTGCCAGAGAGACATAGAGAGAGAGAAAGTGAGAAATCACCCACTATGGGGATGACCACACTGCAATCCCTTCTCGTCTTAGGATTTTGGGCACGCACGCACATGTGTCTGGCTGAGTTTCAAGCTGCTGGGTCTGGAATTTGAACAGTGGTTGGCCATGTGGAAGTCGAGTGCCTTAACCACTACACCACCTGCTGGCCCCACATTCTTGGTAGTTTTCAAAATCAGATTCCAGGCCTTATGAATTTCATCTTGTTAGGTGCCAGATTTTTAAAAATTCCTTTAACTATTATCCTTTACCTGGACTATATTTATTTTACATGCAGACAGTGTCAGTGTAATTGTTTGGGGCTTTGTGCCTAATGAGACAAGAGCAGGGTTTAGTCCAGGCTCTTTTTGCCTCACTACAGTGGCAAAATACCTCTGAGTATTCTACTTGCTACCCCATAGAAACTGAGAGTTTTTTGCTCTGGTTGGTTAGGTAGAGAAACTGGCCCTGTGTGATTCAAAGACTGTCCCCTCTGATCTTCTCAGATGGTTTCCTCTGGCCTTGATTTACACACGTATGCACGTGCGCACGCACACACACACATGTGCTGATCAGGTCCCAGCTGAAGACTTAAATAAGACCCTCTATCTGTCCCCCCTCCGTCTCTGAGGAGCTCTGACCTCACTGGCCTCACGTCCTTGGGCTCAAGCTGGGGCTTTCCCAACCCCCAGCCCCACTACCTCAGTGCCTTCAGGGAGACCTGGGCTGCTGCTGGATCTCCACAATCTGCAGCATGGCCTGGACAATCTCAAGAACTGGTGTTGTTTAATGTACTTTGTCTGAGTTTTTGTTCATTTCACACAGGGGAGAGAATTACAAAGATGTAGGAAAAAAGAATGCCATAATTTGCCCACATAAATTATACTACATGTATAATTCCTTCAAACCTTTCTCTATGAAATCGTGCATTAATTTGTGACACGCTTCTTTCCCTTATCGTTTTATCACAAGCATGTTCTATGTCCTCAGTGTCTCTTTTTGAATGCAACTGCGTAATATGCTACTGATTATACTGTGTTCTGTCACTGTTAGTATAATTTTGTTCTCCAACTTTTTGCTATAGGGTGAGTGTGCTCCCTAGAGAAACAGAGACAGAGAGAGAGAGAGAAAGAGAGAGAGAGAAAGAGAGAGAGAGGAAAAGTGAGAAATGACCCCAAAGGGGGAATAACGATGCCGCAATCCCTTTTCCTCCATTCTCCTCTCAGGATTTGGGCACATATGTACATGTGCTCAGAGTGTTTTTCAAGCCATCAGGTCTGGGACTTGAAATGCTCAGCCAGACATGTGGGATCTAGCTGCCTTCACCTCCAGGCCATCTGCTAGCCCCGCTCTCCTTTTATTTTGTTAATCTGGCCAGAGCCAGAATTAATTTACTCTATTTTGTTTATTTTTCACAGTTTGTTTTTAAAAAATACTTAAAAATATCTGTAAAAACTGACCTAACTACAGACTTTCTATAGTTTTTTTTTTTCCTTTTTACTAAATGTTTACTTACTTTGGTAACGATTATACAGATAAAGCTACACGTTTTGTCTCCTTGCTGCTTTCCCTATATGTAATTTAATCTCTGGTAAGTAATTCTGACTTAGAATATATGGAGAAAATTTTGTTCCATATAACTGAACGGTAGCTGCTGGTTCTAGTGTGTTCTGGTAGTGGTAAGGTAATATAATGACTTGTCTTTTGTCTCATTAAGCATCTACTATCCACTGTCAGATCACTGTGGTAATCACTGGAGAGACAGGATTAAAAAGGTCACCCTTTGCTTATGCTAGGAACTTGCTATTAAAAAAGAGGCAGGTAGGTTGACAAATGGCTCTAAGACAGGATGGTGAGTGGTTATGATTGGGAGTGTCAGGGAAGGCTTCCCGTAAGAGAGATATATGAAAGGAGGGAGGAATAGAAATGAGACAGGTGATGGTAGACATTTCAGACAAGGGCACAGGATGTACAGACGTCTAGAAGCAAAAGAGCAAGCTATGTGCTCTTTCTTGGAACTTGAAAAGTTTGTTATAGCTGTAACTCTGGCATATGGAGGAGGGGAAGGGGAGTTGACATGTCTAGCTATGAACAAGTTGAAACTAGGGTGCTGGACATAGGAGCGGAGAGATCTGGTTTGGACATAAAGTGTAAGCATTAGCATGGAGAGGTCCCTGATGGACAAGTAGAGATCACTGAGAGTGGACAGCCTAGTGTGGTTACTGTAACTAAAACAAGAGCGGTATTTGGAGGGGTTTCAAACAATCTGTGAAGTAAATACAATAAAAAAAATTCCTTCAAGGCCAAGTAGATGGCATAATGTTAAGGCACTGGACTCTCACACGGCCAACCATGGTTCAACCCCAGACTTGGTGGCTTGAAAATAATGCTGGTGCGTATGTGAGTGTGCCCATGATCCCAGGAGAAGGGACTGTAGCGTGGCCATCCCTCCTTGGTGGTGGTGGGGGGTGATTTCTAACTTTTCATCTTACTGTCTGTGTCTCTCTTTGGGGAGCGTGTGCAGCCTATGGCAAAAACCTAAAAAAAAAAAAAATTCCTTCATAGTTACTTTGAATAATATTGCCTTAGTGTAAAACAATTTAAAAATGTCTGATTCTGTTCTCGTGCATTCATTATCATGATATGACTACTCTAGAAATACTCAGAAATAAAACATACTCTGCTGTTACTATTACTGACATGTCCTTTCATTTACTTTAGGCTTATATTAAGCTGAAAGATGCCAATGCAAAGGTAAAACAAATCTACTATACTCAACCTTAGCTTTTATTGTCCTTAATCAACATAGAGATCAGCAAAACATTTTCTGCAAAGGGCCAGATATTATTTTTGGTTTTACAGGCCATAAGGTTTCTGTGACAATTCTTCTGATTCTATAGTGTGAAACCACCCATAGATAATAGTATGGTATACTAGTAAATTTAATGGGTAGACTAGGAAGCATGGCTGTGTTCCAAGAAAACTTTATTTATATAAACAGACGAGTAGGATTGGGCTCATGGACCTTGGTTTGCTAAACCCTGAAATATGTTAGGAAACATTTAGCTTAGCTTTGTATTTAGTTTTTGGACAAATTTACTGACAATAGAAGCACAGAATCAACAAAGGCCAAAGAGTCCTTCCATCTGGATTTCCTTAAGCTATAATCACTGTTTTTGTTGTTGTTGTTGTTGTTGTTGGTTTGTTTTTTGTTTCTCTGGGGGAAGGAGATGGTAGCTTTTTGTTTTTCTAAGAAGTCTTGATTTGAAAGGGTTGGCACTTTTCTAGGACTTGAATTTGTGCCAACCCGAAACCTGGTCTTAAAGCCTTCTCTCAGATTGCTCTTAATACTGGAATGAGTTTATGATTTAGAGTTAGGACTCTAATTGCAGTAGACCATGTGGGAATCTAGAGATAAAACCAATATGTCATCTGCTGATCCCACTTCTATTTTATTTTTAAGAGAAAAGAATCTGAAGAATAGTCTGATAAGGAATTTATTAATGTTTGGCTTACTGTAGTTAGTTTTTTTCCCTCAAAATTAAAAACACTGCATCTTTAAATACCATTCTCTCCAGGAAAACTAACACTTTATCCAGTACAATGGTGAAGCGGTTCATGGAAGAACTGCTGGCCCTGCCATTTCATTTCAGTCTGTAACTGAATGAAATTACTATTTTCTTAGCTGTACCCAGCTTCTGCATTTTATAATATGAATGTTGACTTTATAAAAATATTCTTATTTTGTGAAAAGTAATTTTTGTCAAACAAAAGTTGGTTTTAAGGGAGCCAGCAGGTGGTGTGGTGGTGAAGGCAGTGGATCCCACAAGATTGACTCTATGGTTTGAGTCTCGCCTAGCGGCTTAAAAATCACACTGGCTGCATGTGCCTGGGTGCCCAAAATTTCAAGAGAAGAATAGAGGAGAAGGGGCCGCAGCATGGCTACCTGGCCCCCACCCCCCGGGGGGGGTGAGTTTTCACTTTCCTTCCTCTTCATTTCTTTCTCTCTATTGAGCACACTTGCCCTATGGCAAAAATCTATAAAAACAAAGCAAAACAAAACAAAACAAAATAAAAAGTTGGTCTAGAAGAAAAGTCTAGATACCAGAGTGGGCATTTAAATGATGGGTGGCAACACACGTGGTCATGGTGGCTGGGGAAGAAGGAATCTCTAACCAGTCTTTACCTCAACTCCCTATGTTCCATGACGACACACAATGCAGCAAAGATTAGGCCCTCGATTCTGAATGAAATCTCTGCCACCTTATGAGAACTGGGCTTTGAGCCTTTCTACATGGCTTTGCTAAGCAATGGGAACAGAATATGAAGTTCTCCTTCGATGGCTTTCCAGAGGAGAAATTTTAAAGTGCATAACTGAAAATTGACTTCTATTGAATTTAATTAATTTGTTTATATATTTACTTTTTTTTTTTTAAGAGGGGTTTTTGCCATAGGGCATGTGTGCTCACCAGAGAGATAGAACAGAGAAACAGAAAGTGAGAAATCATCCCCTGAGGAGATGGCCATGCCATAATCCCTAGTCCTCCATTCTCCCCTCGGGATTTGGGGCATGCATGCACACACACCTGCTGTGAGTTTCAAGCTGCTAAGTCCAGGACTCTAATTGCAGTAGACCATGTGGGAATCCAGAGATATAACCAATATGTCATCTGCTGATCCCACTTCTATTTTATTTTTCAGAGAAAAGAGTCTGAAGAATAGTTTGATAAGGAATTTATTAATGTTTGACTTACTGTAGTTAGTTTTTTCCCTCAATGAATGATTATATATATATATATATATTTGTGTGCTGTTTTGACCAAGCTATCATTTTGGAAGAGGGATGGGGAAGCTCACTACACACGTCTTCTAAAGCTGGAGGAAGTATTTCTAAAGGCTGAAGTGAAAAGGCCTTGTCAAATTCTTTGCATAAAGAAATTATAAGCTACATGGAAATAAAAGTCTTTTAAAAGCCACTCATGTCCAGACAACCATAATTAAAATATGGATTTATAGTCCTTTCTTGCCCACATAGAATGTCAGTGACATAAACCAGCCAAAGATGACTTCATTGTCTTGAGGTCAAAAACGAACTGATATGGCGTAATTTTGATAAAAGCATTTTAGAGAATTCTGGTGCTCTCTGACACAAGTCTCCTTAGACACTTAATTTCATAGTTAAAAAAATTTTGGGGACCAGCAGGTGGCGTGGTGGTTAAGGTGCTGAACATTCCCACATGGCTGACCATGGTTCAAATCCTGGACCTGGTTTCTTGCTTTCTCACTTTCTCTCTCCCTCTGTGTCTCTCTCTGGTCAAAATAAAATAAGTAAATGAATAAATAAAATAAAAAATAAATAATTATTAAAAATTTTTTTTTAGCACTTGTTGCTATCAGAATGGAAACTCTAAATTGACTTGCCTGTCAAAGCTGATAAGTATATTGCCATGTCAAAAATCTCTATAGAACTTTGACATTTTATTCAGGTTAAACAGCAGTTTTCTCATTAAAATTCATTTTTAAGCAGCCTTAAAATTTACCTTTTTCTTATGTTTATATAATCAAGGGATTTATTTCTTTTTTTTTTCAGAAATTGTCCGTTAATTTTGCATAAAAGTTTGATCAAACAAGGTAGATTGATCAAATGTGCATTAGTGTCACTACCTACTAGAATTTCAAAGTGACAGAAGAGAAATAAAAAGAGTTTATCATCACCTAGGATAAAGAGAATGGAAGACAGATAGTACAAATGAAAGATTAAAAAAGGAAAAAATCTTTTAGAAGCCAGAAAGGTAGCTGATATTACAGCGAAAGCTTAATACCTTAGAGCTGTGACACCAGTGAGAAGCCTGAGCTACTTGGTGGAGACTGATTATCCTTAGATGAACTACCAAAAACAAAATCTTCCATATAATGAGAAAACTATATGTGAGCTGTGAATTAATGTATTAAAACTTACTGTCTGGGGAGGGCTTTCATTAGATTCTCATAGGGACCCATGAGAGAAAGTAAAAACAATTTAAAATGTGCTTTGCACTCAATATGTTAAATTTTTTTGAGTTAGAAGGTCCTTCTAGATTCTCTAATCATCTTGACTATGGAAGAGAGACAATCCTCAAACCATTCAGCCACTTAGTGGCAAGAGCTGAGTCTGGAGCCCGGATCTCCCGACTCCACATCAGTGTCTTCCCTTTCAGCATGGTGCCTCAATGTCAGAGAAGGGAAACACAGGTGAGGAGAGAGACCTGAGCCTGTAGGTATGACTTAGAAAAGCAGCATAAAGTTCCGACGCCCATACCTGATCCCGGATACTGGAAGACATTCTGCTGCATCTGAGGAGTGATTCCAGTGCCAAACTGTCCTCCCATGTTTCCTGTCATGCCTCTGTTCACCATGCTGTTGCGGCTGGCCAAGGATGCTTCAGGATTTGCTGCCAGCTGTGAAAATGGGCTGGTAGAGGCAGGTGGGGTTCCCGGATTTGTACCATAGTTAGGTGGGTAAGGGAACTGCTGCGGTGCACCCTGAGGAAGGCGGGGGTTCCCCATGTGAACTGGCAGTCCAGATGAGGGAGGGAGGTTGTTCCCAAAGCTTTGCTGCCTCATGAGCATGGCTCTTTGCTGCTGTATTAGCTGCCTCTGTCGGTGCTGCTGACTGTACAACTCCCGCTGACGCTGGGCCAACATCTGAGCATTCAGGGGTGGCTGCAAAAGAGAAAAAAACCCTCACTATTGAATTAAAATTACCACCTACCTTGGGAAGTTTATAAGCTAAAGTCTACTAGTTTACATAGGGCCATGAAATATGTAGCAATTATCAGTGTACAAAGGATACTAAAACAGAAGAAGAACAAAAACCTCTTAAGTAATCACAGGAGGGAAAATGAATTAAGTTCACTTTAGAGAGTGCAAGTAGTTGAGAAATGCTGAAATAGTAACTGACTGTTACAGCTGGTTCAATGCAAATTTTCAATGAAAAGTCACACAGAGGGCCAGCTCCGTGGAGCAGCAATCACATGCTACTCAAGAGAAGCTGGATCCGGGAACCAGCAGTTAGTGTAATGGCTATGTCGCTGGACTCCCACGTAGTCGACCGCGGTTTGAGTTCCGGACCCGGTGGCTTAAAACTCACGCCAGGCGCGTGTGCGTACGTGCCCAAGATCCCGAGAGGAGAATGGAGGAGAAGGGATTGCAGCGTGACCATCCCCCCTGGGGGGTGATTTCTCGCTTTCTGTCTCTATGTCTCTGTCTGTCTGGCGAGTGCACGTGGCCTCTAGCGAAAAACCTCTCAAAAAAAAAAAAGAGAAGCTGGATCCCACATGGCAATCATGGTTTGAGTTCCTGGCCTGGCCAGCCTAAAACATGCCAGGAATGTGCACCTGTGTCCAAGATCTCATGGGCTAAAAGACTGGAGAAAGGAGATCTTGGTGTGACCAGATCCCCTGTGCAGGGTATTATCCTCTACCCGCCTCTATCCTTCTCTCTCATCTTCATGCACATAAGCTCTATTATGAATAAAGAAAAAAATAAAGTCACACAGAACTGAGAAAAGCCAAAGAGAGTACAGTCATCTCTTGATATCTGTAGGGGATTGGTTCCTGGAATTCTGCATATACCAAAACTTGCAGATGCTCAAAGGCCTTCTATACAGTGGCACAGTATTTGCATATAACTATATACATTCTCCTGCAAACTTTGCATCATCTCTGTGTTACTTATAAGAAACCTTGGCATCAGATAAAAGCAAAAAGGAAAATACACAGATGAACTTCATCAGCATCTCTCTCTTAGGAGACACTTCTTCCCCCTTTCCTAATAGCTGGTGTGGCGTGGCTGCAGCTGCAGTTGGTTGAGTCCTTGAAAGCAAGACTTATGGACACAAAGGCCTAACTATACATATCTACTAGTATTACAAAATAGGTCATGAAAACTGCTACAAGAAACATGAAAATCACGAGGAAGTGAAAGAAAATAAACTGATGACTCCCAGGGCTAGCAGATGGTGTAGTGGTTAGGTTTCTGGACTTCTTCATGGCCAACTGGGGTTTGAATCTGGACCCAGTGGCTTGAAAATCATGCTAAGTATGTGTGCATGCAACCAAGATCCCGGGAGAATGGAGGAGAAGGGATTGTTGTGTGGCCATCTTCCCTGGGGGATGATTTCTCAGTTTCCCTCTCACTGTCTCTGTCTCTCTATCTCTCTGGCGAGCACACACCCCCTACGGCAAAAACCTCTTAAAAATCAATAAAACAAAACAAACAAAGAAACAAAAACTTGCTGATTCCTACCCTATGTGATGTTAGATTATTAGGAGATCTTTTCCTTGTCATTTCCAAAAAACTTACTATTTCTAGACTATAGAAACTTAGTTTCTCCCTTTTCTTCCTGAGATAATTTTCCCCACTTTATTTAAATGAATGAATTGTGATTTTAATTTTTTCACTATCCTTTTCTGTATTTACAAAATTGTTTACAATGAACATGCATTATCTTTGCAATTAGAAACATATACAAATATCATTTAAAAAGGAAGATTCAGAAACCCAGGATCCAATGTGTAACAAATTATCACTTAGAAAGACAATAATTAGGGACCAGATGGTGTAATGGTTATGTTGGTGTAATGGTTATGTTGCCGGACTCCTACACAGTCGACAGCAGTTAAAAACCTGGACCTGGTGGCTTAAAAGTCACATCAGAAGTGTGTGCGTGCATGCCCAAGATCCTGAGAGGAGAATGGAAGAGAAGGAACTGTGGCATGGCCATCCCTGCTAGGGGGTGATTTCTCACTTTCTGTCTCTGTCTTTTGGGGAGTGCATGTGCCCTATAGCAAAAATCTCTCTTAAGAAAAGAAAGAAAATAATTAACTAGAAATAAAATAGCAAACAGAAATTAATGGAAACAGCCATTTTATATTGTTATTGCAGTATAAAACCACTGTAAACATTAGTGACTTAATAGCTATCGTATTACAGATGAGGAAAGAAATGGGAAAATTTGGTTGAGATTACTTTAACATGCAAAACAACACGACATGTCAATAAAGCCTTTTTTGGAAATTGTCAGTTACGATTGGAAATCTGGTTAAAGCATATAGCCCCACTAAAAGTAAATTTGCTGGGGTTAGCAGGTGGTGTGATGGTAAAGGTGCTTGACTTCCACGTGGCTGACTATGGTTTGTGTTCTGGACCCAGCAGCCTAAAAATCAGCTGAGCATGTGAGCATACATGCCCAAAATCCCAAGAGGAGACTGGAGAAGATACTGTGATATGGTCATCCCTCCTGGGGAAGTGATTTCTCATTCTGTCTCATGTGCCCTATGGCAAAAACTAAAATCACAAACAAAAACCTAAACTTGACAACTAAACACAGTCCAATGTGGAAGAAATTATGAGATACAAATTTCGGGCAGAAATCCTCTTCACATAAATTCCAAAGTGGGTTCTTTTTTTTTTTTTTTTTTGAGAGACTTTTGCTATAGGGTGTGCGCATTCGCCAAAGAGACACAGACAGAAAGTGAGAAATTACCCCCCCAGAAGGGATGGCCATGCTGCAATCCCTTCTCCTCCATTCTCTCCTCAGGATTTTAGGTGTGGACACACACACGTGCCCACTGTGAGTTTCAAGCCCCTGGGAGTCCAGTACCTTACCACCATGCCACTTGCTGGTCCCAAAAAGTGGATTCTTGCTTCCTTACCATCTCATTACTCTCGACTGAGCTAACACTGGGATTTACAATTATATGGTGAGAAATCCAAATCTAGACCCATAAAGATGGCAGCATCTGCTGCTTTCCTGAGGCTTCTGTCACTATTTCTCCCTTTCAGTGCTGACTTCCTGCATGTGCCCCAATCCTTTTCTACGGAGAAAGAAGAGTTTTATTTGAGCCCTCTCTAAAAATCCCTGACTTCCCCATTTTTTTTGTGTGTTGACTTGGTTAAGAATACATAAATAAGTGGTTGAAGCAAAAATACTCCAGTATGTGTGAGTGGCAGAGTGACAACTAGATAACATTCAGAAGTCTACCCAAATTCTTTTTATGTTTAAAGTTCCAGTGGCTCTGGGTTTATAGACAATGATTAGTATTTAAAAATAAATAAAAGCTAGAAAATGTTGAAGTTGACTGAGCGCGGTACACAAGATAGTTAAAACAGCTTAGCAATGTAACGGAGTTTTGATCAGGTTTCAGGTACCATTCAGTTTCACATCAGAGGCTTATTACTGGCGCTGTTGGGGACAGCAATAAGAGTTTTCCGCTTAGTGACCTGGTATCCAATAACAATGACAACAATGACAATAAGACAAAACAAAGAACCCTTGGCTTTAGATCAAATATCTATAAGAGGCACCACAAGTAGATTATTAATTCATTCTAGAAGAAAATCACACTACAAACATGATGAAAAGATCAGCTCACAGACCATTTCAAAGACACTCAAGTCAACACTTTAAGAAACACTGCTTGAGTTAGAGAAAAACTAACACCATCCGGTTTTCTCACATTACCTGAGGTGTAATTTGCTGCTGCATGCCTGATCTCATATTGATGCCAACAGGAGCAGTTGCTGCAAACTGGTTCAAGATTGCTTGCCGATTCTGGTGTATCAACTAGAGAGCCATGGAAACAATGAGAGAGCTTATTTCTGCACATACACATGGCGCAGGCCTTACAGAGCAACACAAACTTTCTACTTATTACTACGGTTTTGGGGTTGCAGGGTTAGGAAGATTATTTCCCACCTTTATTTATCAAAAGGCTGGCATTTCCCAACATTTACCAACTATTTATTGCCTTCAGAAGACTTCATATGGCAGAGCATTTACAAGAAGACTACATATACATACATACATACATGTATATATACACACGTTTATTGTTTTTTTTTAAACATGTTAATAGTTACTTCAAATAAGTACAGTAATGGAGGAAAAGAAACATCACCCAGACATCTTAAAATACTGTGAATAAAAAAGCAATTCCATAAGGGCACATTCTGCAGCAGCCTGGAGGATGAGTGGACAGTTGAAGTACTGGAGGGTACTCTCACTTGGAGGTGGTACTATGTCTGGTGGGTACATATTTGGGGGAAATCCAACATGATTTCATTAGTGGAGGAGAATTGTGTAAGAAACAAATGGTCTGAGAAAATGGACTATTTATTTAACTAGAAGAAGTAATTAGTTTAGACCAGCATTTCCCAAATTGGTTCTAAAGAACATTGTTCTGCAGGATATTAATAGATGTGCCGGGAAAAGAGCGTGCTGTGCTGCATGCACATTGGAGACGGCGGGTTACACGAGGTGAGACGCATTTATTTACTGCAGCAATTTTATGAGCCTTTAATTGGCCAAAGCACATTGTGGATCTGCAAGAAGGGGATTTACGATGAAATTTATTTATCACAAACCTTTTTTCTACACACAACTGTTAGTATCTATCTCCCAGAACAATCTTTGATGGAACATTGCTTTAGAAGATCAGCTTAAATCAGGTTTAGGGTTCTAGGTCATAGGCATGCCTGAAATTTATGTGGTAACAAAATGAGTAACAAAAGGAGTGAAATTTGCTTATAAACAATCTAGAGCTAAAAAATTTCTTCTCCAATAATTCGATATAAATAAACTATTGAGAGATATAAGAGTAACAATAACCTATTTTGTGTTTAATGGTACTTTAATATTATTTTGTGTTTAATTGTACTTTAGAGTAAATTACATAAAATATTAATATATCTTATAAAAACCTGTTTTATATTTATATTGTTATCTTATAAATATAGCAACATATTTGAATGTATCTGAATACACTTTATATAAACTAAAAATTGCATAAAAATTTTATAAGAGAACCCACCGAGATACTAATGGTGATTAAACCTATCACCACTGAATAGCTCAACTCTTTTTTGGTTGCTGTTACAGGGTGTGTGTACTCACCAGAGGGAGAAATAAAGAAAGAGGAAGGAAGAGGAGAAAGTATTCCCGGTACTAATGGGGACTAGCTACACTACACTGCAATCCCTTTTCCACCTCTCCCTCTTTCAGAAGTTTGGGCATTCAGCACATGCGCCCAGCATACTTTTCAAGTCGTGGGGTTGGCACTCTAACTCCACGGTCAGCCATGTGGGATCCAGCTGCCTAACCACCAGGCCATGGAGCCAGCCCAAATAGTTCAACTCTCAATTCTGGCTTGAATCATTTTCTGACTCTCATTAAATTAGAAAACAAACCAATTTTGGGGAAAAGCTCAATATCATGTAAATATTAAAATTACACTTTTTGGACACTGTGGAATGAGAAAACATTCTGAATCACTTCAGAAATAAAGATATCAGCATTACTGTTCTAGAAGTCAAAGGGACTCTTAAGTACTAAAACATATACTTCTTTTATTATTATTATCTTTAATGGGAAAGAGGTATTATCTCCCCATGGAGATCCTTTGCCTCAGCCCCCTAGTTAGGCAGGCTATGCCTGGCCTGTTACGGTTGGTTCTGGATCTGAACCCAGGCCTCCCATGTGGCCCCTGCCTTGCAGAGGGGCATTCTACTACTTGCTCCATCAAGTTGGGTCCAAACCTATATGCTTCTTAAAATCAAAAGACCAGGACCAGAGACTAGCAGTTAGTGTAATGGCTATGTCACTGAAATCCCATGTAGCTGACTGTGGTTCAAGTCCTAGACCTGGTGGCTTTAAATTCATGCTGGGCGTGTGTGCATGTGTGCCCAAGATCCCGAGAGGAGAATGGAGGGGAAGGGATTGCAGTGTGGCCATCCCCCACGGGAGGTGATTTTTGCTTTTTTTTTTTTTAATTTATCTTTAATGTTTTTATTTTTTTATTTATTCATTCATTTATTTTAATTTGATCAGAGAGAGAGACACACACACACAAAGTTAGAAGGAAAGTGAGAAAGCAAGCTACAAGGTCCAGGACTTGAACCATGGTCAGCCATGTGGGAGTGTCCAGCACCTTAACCACCATGCCACCTGCTGGTCCCCACCTTTTTTAAAAAATTTACTTTTAATTTTTAATTTTTTAATTTATTCATTCATTTATTTTAATTTGAGATTTTCACTTTCTCTCTTTCTGTCTCTCTCTGTCTTTCTGGCGAGTGCACATGTCCTATAGCAAAAACCTCTCCAAAAAAAAAAAAAAATCAAAAGACCATGGGCATATGTTTAAATAAACTAAGTTAATTTTACAAAAGCACATCAAAAAAACTCAGTATAATCAAGATACTGTATCTTGATTTGTAGTTTGGAGCTACAAATATGAGTAAATTCCTGTCCACTAAAAATCCCCCCCTGAGAGGCAGAGGCCAGCACACAACAGTGCCCCTGCACAGAGACACATAGGCAGCACAGAGGGAGCCTACCTCCGCCTAGGGATGGGAAGGCAGAGGGCCAAGAGCAGGAGTGAGTTCACTGGGGTCTGCACAGATCAGAATGCTTGGTGATAAGGAGGATGGCAGAAGGAACAGCGAGCATGGAAACGGGGCAGGAAGCACTGAGGACAGTGGACGTACCTTAATACTTAGCAATGGAGAGAGCTGAGACACGTAGGGAGTGGGAGCTGAGACCCCAGACCTGTCCTTTACAAACTCTTTATACTGTGAGATAATGTGAGAGTAAAATAGGTGGGGATAAAGAAAACACGCCTGGAAAGTAGTAATAGGCTATTTTTAAGAAGAAATTCCAAAGAGCAGAAATCTACAAGTACTTTCTGTTCTAGAAAACTGTCTATTTCTGCTCTTGAAATAACCCTTGTTCATTTTCTCCTCCCTTGATGTGTGTGCAGTCTGACTCATGCTGTGTATTCTGACCTGCCTCTTCTCTCCTATTACTAAAAGTCTACCTACTTTTCTTTCTATGTAGGTCACATTCCACTTCTTCCAATGAAGCCTTCCCAAAAGGCTTACTACATCCTTTATCTTTTTAGAAATCTTAACTATTGATGGGAGAGGGAGTGGGAAGAGAAGCCGGTAGTCTTTAGAGCTGGGACCCAAGTGAAAAGCTATAAAAGCCAAGTCAAAAGGCTTGTACTACAAAAGAAAATAGGGGCTTGGGGCCTTGGGAGAGTATAAACCCAGTCTGTATGTACGAAACAAACACACACACACGGTTCGGGCTTGCTGTCACGCTGTCTGACCAAATGCATTTTTTCCCAGTGCCTTACCAAGGAGTTCTGCTCTAGTAAACCTAAAAGATGATTATCCAGCCCAGAGGTTCTCAACCAGGGTGGTTCTGCCCCACAAGGGACAACAGGCAACGTGTGAAGACATGTAGGTCGTGAGAACTTGGGGAGAGGGTGCTACTAGCGGCTAGTGGTTAGAGAACAAGGTTGCTGCTAGACCTTCAAAACACAGGTCGGGCCCCCACAACAAGAATCATCCAGCACAAAATGTTCAAGTGCCAGGGTTGAAGAACCTGATCCAGCCACCACAGACAGCCTTTCTAAGACAAAGTGTTCTTTTTAAGAAGCTCATTCTTTTATCAGTTTTCACTGATTACTAGAAATCTGGAGGTGAAATCTGCTTCCCTGTATTTCTGCCCTTTGACCCTAACTCTATTTTCCGTTCACTCCTACTCTCTGTAATACGTGAAAGACAATCACTGGTGGTTCTTCAGCCAGTTCATATCATTCCCTAGTAGCCTAACTCGTAGTGTGACTGGACTGGACTTGCTTAAAGACGGCTAAGTACAGCATATTTCTTTTTCTATCTCAGCTGCCACTCGCTCTTTATGCTATTTTTCTCTCGATCGTAGGAAAATCATGGTCCCTGCTAGAGAAGAATAAAACAAAGCTGGAATAGAGCAACCGCATCTTTCGTCAGCCAGTGCTGTACCATCTTCCACAAACTGCAGGTCTGCCCATCTTTGCTGCCGTCCTTCTCCTAAGTTAGAACTTCTGAAGTCCTCTAACAACATTATGGGTATATTGCTTGGGCCTTTGTCCATCAGAAGTATAGGCAGACATTACACCTAAAGCCTTGTAACTCCGCATTACCTCTAAATCACCAACTGTTTCTTTTACTTTTCTGTTTTTTTTAAAAAAAAACTTTCAAACAATGCAGCTGCATTCATTTCCCAGGATGTTTTTCATTCCCTCTTCCACCAAATGGGGATTATTTATAACCACATAATAAAACTTAAAATGTTAGACTCTTTTTGTTCCTTGTGTATCATATTCCAGTCACTGAGATATATGAGGGGTCTTCAAAAAGTTGGTAGAAAATGCCTATTATGGAAAAGCTATGCATGGACTTCAGGTTTTGTTATGTTTTTTTGCACCAAACTAAATTTAATTCCATTTTTTACTACTACTTTAATTCCATTTTTCCCACACACTTCTTAACATCTCCTCATATGACTGGGTGTGTTTCTGGGTATTAGGTTCCAATTAGTAGAACCATCTACCCTCATGACAGTTCTACATTGTTTCAGTTTCTAAAACTTTGTTTTAAATCTTGATATTTTGTAAAGCAAGTTCATTTTGTTTCTTGCTTTTTAAAAAAATATTTATTTATTTATTTAAATTTGACCAGAGAGGGACAGAGTGAGAAAAAGAGAGAGAGAAAAAGTGAGAAAGTGGGACCAGCGGCTAGCCT